GAAGAGAGTTTTGAAAGACCCACGTGGAATAGTTTAGGATGTGGGTTGATTATATTCAAACGCATAGACAAAGCGATAGACAAAGAAGACAAAGGGGAAATGAAGAGATTCCGTTGGTGCTTCCAATGAATAAAGGAGGTGTGTCTGTGTAGGTATTAGATTAATTTACGGTAGGTACCCCACGAGGGACCCTATTCCTATAGTTATATCATCAATTACCACCCGTTTGCCATCCCGTTTGTAGGATCGTTCCGTTTCCATGTTGTATTCTTTGATTATTATCAATTTCAATAGATAGCCCACCTTGCTAAAACGGTGAGCACAAATGAGTAGAAAATCAAAGTCATATGCATAGGAATTCAACTCATATGAATAGAATTTCAACTTATATGAATAGAATTTAAGGAGATTCGATGGACGCCATATTTTGTGACAGAACGGCATGCGATATATCGCATCAATTGGTTCCGTTTTTTCAGCTGCTCGTCATTTTTCTCCAATTTTGAGATCACAATTCTGTCGTCAGGAGACTAAAGCACTCACCAATTTTAACAAAGAAATTCGACGTAATAAAGGCGTGGTTTTTTTTAGAGAGAAAACATCGCATTCGATACTGATATGGTTATAAGAATCTTTGTCCAATGTTTTTGTGTCCAATTTTTTTTGGTCCATTATACATTTTTGTCCAGTAGTTAGTTTGGTCCAAAAGAAAATTTGTCCTACCTTTTTTAGTCCTCCTTATTACTTTGACCCATACATACTTATATGTCCAATGAGCAGATTTTATTTTTGTCCAATTGAATCAGTGAGAAAGGAAACACACAAACTCGAAAAATGAAAATAATCAAGACACACACAAAACTGCATATCAGGTGTAGAAGTTAATCTAAGAAAAATATTTTTGGCGCCTAAAAGCAAGTACTTAAGGAAAAGGGGTGTTACTGTTAGAAAAGGGGAAAATACTGAATAGGGGTGGTAATGTTAGAAAAGGGGAAAATACCTCTTATCTCAATAGTTGGGTTCAGGACGTTGGGGATTTGAATGCAGTTTTAAGTGGTAAGCAAGCGCTCTCAGATAGGTTTTGACTTCGCCCTCTCCTTTGTACTGCGCATACCGTTCAACTATGGCCTTCACTCTGTCCTGATTCGTGACGTAAGTTTTGTTGACCGGAGCCGAAATGTTGTGTCCTCCTCTTTTCTGGACTATATTTTGTTCAGTTTCCTCTTGGACGTCTCTGAGTTTTTCTATAAATTTCCAAACATTGGCGTGATACGTGCCCACGAGGCGATTAAACTTTGAATGGAAACCTTCGACAACGTTGTTTGTGCGGTGTCTGTTCTCTAAAACTAATGTGTAAGAATTCCATACACGTGGTGGGAAAAGTGGGGGCANAGATGCTTGCTTGTGTCACATTTGAAAATGACCAGTTCGGCAACATTTTCAAGGCACCCAACGCTTGTTATGCATCTGGCATTGCACGCCGATCGTCGTTCGCATCTCCAATATTCTCTAGTTTTTCCTTTGTTGAACGAGTGGTGGTGGTATACATACCCCTCATTACTCAGGATTGATTTATTTTTTGTTGATTTCATTAGGATCGGAGCCATTTGGAGACAAATTGAACTTGGAATTTCGAAAAAAAAAATAAAGAAAAAAATACGAAGAGTTACATAAGACTTGAAATTTTGAATTTATTGAATTTGTTTTAACCTTTATAGGTTAGACAAAGATAAAAAGGCCCTTCATTTATTCCTAATCACCATGGTAGCATATCCTCTTGTTAAAATTTAAGGTTAAATTTATATGTTGATATTTGCCTCACTCGTCACTAATTCATTCCTATTGTGCACTGTTCTTGGTCAAAAAGAAAAACTTTGTAAAAAGGACAAAAAAAAAAAAGATTGGACCTACAACGCAGGGCCATTTTATGGATTGGACCGAAAAATGTAGGACCAAACTTATTGGACTAACTGGCACTGGACGAAATTTTTTGGACAAAAATTCGCTAGGACGAAAAAAATTGGACAAAAATTCCTGAAACCACTGATATCGAAACTGCACTCGAATGCGATATTTTTCCTCTAAAAAATCCACGCCTATATTACGTTGAATGTCTTTGTTAAAATTGGCAAGTGAGTGCTTTAGTCTCATGACAACAGAACGGCGATCTCAAAATTCGAGAAAAATGACGAGTAACTAAAAAAATGGAACCAATTGATGCCATATATCGCATGCCGTTCTGACACAAATTATGACGTCCATCGAATCACCTTAACTCATATGAGCAGAATTTCTCTATCCAGTTTTCGCCAACTTCTATGACTAGAGATTCCAACTCACGTGACTAGAGATTTCAACTCACATGAGTTCATAGCGTTGAATCTGCCGTGTCCGATATCTCAGAAACTAGTCACCGCATCAAAAAAATTATAAGAACAAAATGTTTTTATTTTTAAAATTTACACACTTGGTTGGTGTCTCCTGGTCAGAAACAGCACTTCTGAAGAATGAAAAAAAAAATGAATTCATATGTGTTGAATTTTTCTACTCTTATGAGTAGAATATTCTAGTGATATCAGTAGGTTTTCTACTCTTATAAGTAGAAAGTTCTATCCATGTGAGTTGGCGAATTCTGAATAGCCTACTCGTCATTTTTAGCAGGGCGAGAATAGGACGTGGTAGATAAGGGCGCAAGGGTGAATCGGTGATGGTAGGAGCCCATGGTTGTTGGTGATATCTCGGGCATTATGGCAACGGAAGCAAAGAACTCTCAGCGCAAGGGAAAAAGGTAAAGCCGTTCGATTGAGCCGAGGAGTTCGAAAGTTTGGGGAACTTTTTTTTTTCAAGCGAATTGACCCGTGTGAGGGGTATCGGGAGGAATGAGCAGAGCTCCCTGGAGTAAATCCTAAATTGAACCGTAGAATTTTAACGTAATCTACTGTAATCCCAGATGGTATTCCGGAGTTCCGCCCGGAAGCTTCGGGTTGCGTTGTTTTGGTGTTGAGTCACATGAGGAAACTTTCGATCTCTTCCGGAGTTCCTCAGAAGTTTAATCAGACGTCGAATATTTCCAAGGAAGCAAGAATGGAAAGAGAGATATGGACGAGAGAGAATTGACAGAGGGGGTAGGAATAAGCTATCGATAAATGGACCACAAAGTAAGAATTATACCCCTAAATGACATGAATCCTTATCAGCGTTTCTTCCAAGACGAGATGCGCTTGACAAATCGGTACCATCCAAAATCAACTAATTAACATTAAGGTTTCAGTTTACATTATAAATGGTAAATTTAAACTTCTCGCTAAAAAAAAAAAAAAAAAAAAAAAAAAAAAAAAAAAAAAAAAAAAAAAAAAAAAAACAAAAGTTTTATAATGCGCCCTTCACTGTATTGTATGTAAAAGTTTAAGAAGGAAACATTGTACTACATTCATAGTACTACCCTATCTTTTACGCAATTTTCAAATTTCTCGATCGAGGGAATTGAACTTCAATTTAGGGGCTCGGAGGACAAGGCGCATAAGTGCAGTTTTTGCTATTTTGAGAAATACGTGTTTGAAGTTTCAAAATTACATGGATCCTTATGGCGGGAAGTAAGTTTAAATTGACATTTTGATGCTTAAAAATTGGAATTTGGGAGGGAATTTTTACAGGACATGCATGAAGACTAGATTTACTTGAAACCATGAATATCTCAATTTTTTAAAAAACTCCACTTATGCGCCTTTTCCTCCAAGCTCTCCAATTCAACCTAAGTATTTTCAAGCATTACTAATTGTAAGACTCGAAGTTTTTCCGGAAATTCCGATCACCAGGATTGAAGTTTGGTTTGTATGAGCGGAAATTTCGATTGCTTTGACGAAGTATTCAGCGTTCCATGCGAATAATAATGCGATCCTTCGAATCCGAAGTTCTTTTTTAATCTGTGCTGTTATCCTTTATCATCTTGTTCCATCATCCTAATGAAAAAAATATCAGCTCGGTAAAAAATTTGAACAAACCGAACTTCCTTCAAATCCTACCAACTACACTGGGAGACACACTATTCTGGGAGAGTTTTGCATACGTTTAAAAATAAATGTGCTCTTGCAGATAAGTTTGGACTAATACACAAGAGGAATTCCCTCATGAAGCGAAGCGTCAAGCCTCTGCCCTGTGCTGTCGCGAGATGACTTCACCCGGCCGTGACAGATGAAGTTGCGCGCGAGAGAAACTTCCTCTAAGCTGAAGTTAAAGTCGCTTTAGCTTCCTCCCCGAGCTTGTCACTCCAATTTATCAAACAAAAGTAGATTTTCGATTACTCCTTTTAAAAGTCAAGCGTGCGTAAAATGAGGGTAGGGAATAGAATTAGGAACGAGGAGCGAACCAGACACGAGACTAGACATTTCGAACGGGCCCGATGTGTAATCGTAAACAGGAGGGGGCGCTTCCTTGCAACGTAGACGCTTTTGAGTGCAAGGTTCGATCGGAAAAAAGGGAGAAAAAAGCCTCTTAGGTTTTGGAATGCCTCAGCGCGGATTGCAATAAGATACTGCTAAAATAGATTCAATGCAGAATTATTCCGAAATCATCAACAAGAGATAATATTAAAATATCCAAAGAAGGAGGGGGTTGGATCGGAACAGCCCCTTAAAATTTTACGTTAAATTTCACGCAAAATTTCAAAACATCGGTGATATTTCATGAAATTTCTCGTCAAATTTCACCTTGCATTTTTTTGGACTCTTTACAGCCCAGCAAACCGGGTAGGGCCCAGGTAAGTTACCCCGAAATTTCAAATGCGCATTTTTATTGCAATATCCCATCTCAAGGGGTAAGGGTACATACGAGAATTTACTGACTACTAAAATGGTCAATAGTGACCCAATTGATCCCCGGAAAACTGAATTTTTTATTTGCTTACATGCAATAGAGTGTTTCTCTTTTCTCTATTTTTTTTATTAAATACGCTGCATTATTTTTGAAAAAGTAATACGAATTACGTCAATGGTGTGTTGCAGAATCAGTGATGCGATTGAACAAACCGAGTGAATTGTTCATGCTGTCAAGTAACTTCAACGCTCATGAAAGGTAAACAAAATTCACATTCTTTCGCATTTCTTTAATTTCACATGTTCATATTTTTGCAAACTACTCAGATTTAAATGATTATAATGTTTGGAAACTATGGGAATAATATGTAACGTAATGATATTAGTGGTCTTTGAATTTAAGATATTAATTTTTTAAACCGCGATTACCCATTTTCCCCCTTAATTAACTTAAGTTTTCTTTCGATTTTTTGCTATATTTGTTTTTTCTTTATTTTTATTGTTTTATCATTTGTTTTTTTTTTTTTTTTTTAATTTTTAAACTTGTGTTATCCAATCAGTCTCTTCAATTTGAGTGTAGTTGAAGCATGTTAAAAGGATATTGCAACAATCTCTGAACTCTAGAAAGAGCTGAAACTTGCATTAAAGCTAGATCATCGTTTGCTCATAAACCACCTATCTTGAATTACAGTCTCAGTGCCTGACTCCCGGCTAGTATAACGATAATAGCAAAGAAACAGTGAAGCTTAGTTTATAAATGCCTGTAATGAATTCAACTTTTTTTTTCAAAAGAACTTAGCCCAAATTCCCTACTTATACCGGTTCAGGGCCGGATTTACCTACTTACCGCCCATGGGCCACCTGTATTTTACCGCCCCCTTCTCATTCGTATTGAAACATCAATAAAAACCATCAAGTGAACGTGCCAGCGGCTGAGGGGTGCATAAGACGCGTTTACTCGTGTTGAACACATTTTTTGGGGTGCCCTGTCAACACTACTAGCAAAAGTTAAGTTTTGTAAACCTATCTCTGTGTGGACAAGGCCTTCCATTCATAAGAAATAAACGAAAAAATTATGAAAGAACAAACATGAATGTGGTTTAATGAGTTTAACTTCCACTGCCGCGCCGCGCAGACCGCACCGTGTTTGGCGCAATGCGTGAAGTATTCACGCAGTCTTGTAGGCGCCATGCGTTTCACGCTGACCGCACTGTGTTTGGCGCAATGCGTGAAGTATTCATGCATTCTTGTAGGCGCTATCCGTTTCACGCTGACCGCAATGACCGCACTGTGTTTGATGCAATGCGTGAAGTATTCGTGCAGTCTTGTAGGCGCTGATATGTGTTACATGCTGATCGCCGCGCCGATGGCTTCTCCTTTTCATCTCAAGTCCTCGTCATCATTGCTTTCTGCGCCGCGCCGTTCCAGGCCAACTTAAGCTGTTTGGTTTCTCTCTTAACTCAACTAATTAAAGGCGCTGTCTCTTGTATCACTGAAAGACGACAAAATTAAAAATTACTACACTCTCAGGAAATGAGAAATTTCGTCGCCTTTGCCCGTTTGTAATTTTTTTTTTCTAAATCCGATATTTTTTTATACTTACATTTAAAAAAATTGCAGAATTTGCCGCCCTCTGGATTTGCCGCCATGGGCCGCGGCCCATGTGGCCACCCCCTTAATCCGGCTCTGTGCCGGTTCAAAGCCCCTGCACCCCCGCCATCCTTCGTAAAAACAGCATCCCTCTTTAGAATTTCTATTGAATTTACGTCGTTGTTGCTTAGCAAAGCGCGGAAGCCGTTTCAACATGTTTATTAGATCATAAGGCGGTAATAGATGGTAGGCTTTTCTAGCGATGAAAAATGATGTTCAAAACTTTGTGCAGTCCCTCAGTCGCCCTATTCCGACCACCTCCCACGAACTGTAGTGTTTGCCGTGTGCGTGTTAAATAAACGAAAAGGGATGTTTGTACGAAGCCTTTATTCCATGTTTTTATTTTTTCATATCATATTTTCGAAAGGATGCTTCTTTAATTATGCAGTCGATGTATTACGACAATCTACGACTTTTTCCACCTGACTCGGATAAAATATTCATCCTTAATTGTAGGTTTACTGACATTGAAAAATGTCATGATGTCAGTCAGTCATATGAGTAAGAAAAAGTATCAGAGCAGGTGTCGAGGTATACTTTTAGAGGCAAAAAGCTCAAAAGTACGAACAAATTTCGCGAAATTAGGAATGAATTTATACCCTTCCGATATGGCCGTCGAGGTTTTTGAGTTATTTTCCGTGAGAGAAGAAACTTTTCTCTTCACCCTTGCAAGAGTTTGCAGCAGACCCTCAGTCTGTTGTCTGACAGACTAAGTTCTGGAAAAGTCCCTGAAAAATCCCAAAAATTAATTTAGAAAGCACTTGCGAGGACTGGAAGGTGGAACCGCAAAAGCTCAGTGAGAGAGCGCCGTGAACCAGGTTACAGCTGTTACTTCTCATGACTTGTGCCAACAGTCGGGATCTGGTTTCTCAACTTATTTTCACACGTTTATCAGGCTGCATGACTGCTTCTCACCATCTCGGAGGACTTACCGCGAAAATTTTCAGATCACCTGGTCTTCCTCACTTGCTCGGGAATTTCCCTCTTGCGTTGATGAATCCAGTAAAAAGCTCTGCTGTCTGTTGCTGCTTTAATATCGAGGTCAATGGCTGCAAAAACATTAGTAATCCCATTGTTCTCCCTGAATGATAGTTGGACTGCATTTTGCAATTTGGACCTATAAATTCCGGCCCGGTTTAAAAACAACGTATGTGCCATTAGTTTCCCTATGCACATAAGTGTTTTTTTCAGATGAGCCAGAATTTATAGGTCCAAATTGCAAAATGCAGTCCAGTTCTTATATGCACCTTCCGATGTTTTTTAATTTTTTTTTTGTTGTTGTTTCTGTCGATTTGTCATGTAATATTAATGGCGAAGTACCCCACTCAGTAGTCGCAAGTTGTGATCAAGTGATTAGAGCCAAGGTGACGTCATGATCCTGCCATACGCCGAGTATTCTCACTGAAAAGGGAAAAGTATCTCTTAGAGGCTAATTTTCCTCTTCGAAGTATGCTTTTCGGCGCAACGCTAGTAGGATCCAATCAGAGAGCAAAATTTTTTCTGATTTGATGTACTAGTGTTGCGTCAAATAGCATGACTACAAAATGGAAATTATACCCTGTAGGACATTTTTCTCTGTACTGTGAGAATACCCGCCTGCGTAATGCAGAGTCATAACGTCACCTTGACACTGATTTAATAATCACCAACTAGTGTCTATTTGTAGGGCCGGATTTACCTACTTGCCGCCCATGGGCCGCCTGTATTTTGCCGCCCCCTTCTCATTCGTTTTGAAACATCAATAAAAACCATCAAAAGAACGTGCCAGCGGGACTGGAGTGCATGAGACGCGTTTACTCGTGTTGGAAACTTTTTTTGGGAAAGCCCTGTCAACACTACTAGCAAAAATTTTCGGAACTTTGCGCGAAAGTTAAGTTTTGTAAACCTACCTCTGCGTGGACAAGGCCTTCCATTCATAAGAAATGAACGAAAACATTATGAAAAAACAAACATAAATGTGGTTTAATGCTCCCAGGAGACTGAAGAATGTGGAGATTGTAGTCAATGACGTACCGGTTAGTGTTGGGACATCCCTCAGACACCTTGGATTCTATCTGGATAAGGGCCTGAGGATGTCCCAGCACATCCGTGCGGTTTGCTGCAAGGCAAAGAAGACTATTAACGCTCTTCGTTCCATCATGCCCAACTGCTTCGGCTCCCAATATAGACGCAGAATGATGATCTTTCAGGCTGTCTTTTCTGTATTTTCTATGGAATTGCGGCCTGGGGAGACTCACCTGCTCTTAGCCTAAAATACAACCTTAAAGAGATCACCAAGACTTTACGTCCTCTTAAGAGAGCATTATGCATGGCCTACAGGACTGCGTCTGCCAACTGTCTCGATATCCTGACCGGTGTTCCTCCAACGGACCTACTCATGAAGGAAAAGTTTAGGAGATCCTTGAAAACCGAGAATTTTGAGGAGATCCATGATGAGATCTTAACTGAATGGTGTGGTCGTTGGAGGGACAACACGGGGGATTCCTGGTGCAAGCAACTGATCCCGGACCCAGACTCATGGCTTAGGCGGAACTACGGATACCCGGATTTTTGGCTGACGCAGCTCTTCACAGGACATGGAGTTTTTGGAACCTACTTATTTAGATTTAAGAAAACCGATTCGGAAAACTGTAAATTTTGTATTATAGAGCGAGACACGCCGGAACACACCTTTTTCTCATGCTCCCGATTCATTAATAAGAAACGCTTATTAGACTTAGAACTTGACACCACTCTTACCCCTTCAAACTTCCAAACAACCATTTTAAAATGTCCCACAAACTGGAACCTAATTCAAAAATACGCAAAAGACATCCTAACAACAAAGTCCCCTCTTTACCAGAATCAACCTTTACTCAACACCCAACCCCCACCCCCAGCCGAAGATATACCAGATGGTAATTCCGGCATGTCTCGCGAAGTAAACTCTTGACCCTATTTCCTAAACTTATACTATTATCTTATTAACTATCTCCTTACTTTACTTGTCTCTTTTATTATCATACACATTATGTTATCACTATATATAACTTATATCTATCATCACCTAAGCAAATTGGTGATAAGATGCGCACATTACAATTTCTGTAAATATGTACTTACTGAATAAAATTTCGCTTGACAAAAAAAAAAAAAAAAAAAAAAAAAAAAAAAGTGGTTTAATGATCTTAACTTCCGCCGCCGCCCGCGCAGACCGGTTGCTGAGCGTACTGTGTTTGGCGCAATGCGTGAAGTATTCACACAGTCTTGTAGGCGCTATGCGTTTCACGCTGACCGCACTGTTTGACGCAATGTGTGAAGTATTCATGCATTCTTGTAGGCGCTATCCGTTTCACGCTGACCGCAGTGACCGCACTGTGTTTGATGCAATGCGCGAAGTATTCGTGCAGTCTTGCAGGAATGTGAGCTAATATGTGTTACATGCCGACAGCCACGCTGAGGGCTTCTCCTTTTCATCTCAAGTCCTTGTCATCATTTCTCTCTCAGTCCTCGATTAATTAAAGGTGCTGTCTCTTGTACCACCGAAAGACGACAAAATTAGAAATTACTATATTCTCAGGAAATGAGAGATTTTTTTTGTAATTTTTTTCTAAATCCGATTTTTTTTAT